AGCAAAAGAAAAAAGAATAATTAGTGTAAATATCGATATAGCGTTAAAATTTTATAACGAATAAACTAGTTTTATTATAAGACAAATAAACAAAATTTGTACGACATATATCAGGGGCATTGCCCGATATGTCATATAATTGAAAGCCCGATGCGTCGTTGATCAGAAGGGCTGAATATTCTATAATTATCAGAGGGACATTTTCCCTTGGCGGCACTCATTTATTATAAACGCACTTAGTATCGCCACCAAAATCAGTTACGTAGTCACTTTTTAAATTTTAATCGGCGCACAAGAATAAAAGAATCACAAGATCACGAAATTTTTTAAAAAAACTAAATGTTTTTTTTATATATTCAACTAATTCGAATTTATTTAATTATTGCTACATTCAATTCGAATCTATAAAATGCATTAATATCCAAATTCAAATTTTATTTAGTACACGTATAAACTTTAAAATTTTTTTTCTTGTCGTTGGCATTCTATTATTTAAATCTTTATTAATGCAACTTCAGTATATACAAATTTGGTTTATTATTACATGAAATTGAAGAAATTGTTTGTAACTCATGTGTCAACCTTCAAATTTGAATTTAATGCTACTAGTAAAAGGTGTTTTTGTTACGCCTACTCCAAGAGTTTTTGCTCATTCGAAATCTTTAAAGTCATCTACCATCTATTGAATAGAATTAAAGTCGATTCAAAACCTCGAAACGATTTTTTGTTTATGAAAATTATTAGATTGTTCAAACAATTAAACACCTAAAAATAAAAGTAATAAATATGTGAATAAAATAATTTTTTTTATACCTTATGAAGGGTTTTTTGTACTTTCTTAAAATTTCAGATTCGGATTTATTTATATAATAAAATAATTTATAATAAAAAATTAAAATTTTTTACTCTATTATTTTTGTATTAATAGTTTAAGTTTTTTAATGAATTTGTGATCTTTATAATTCTATATTAATCTACATTCGGTTTGTGTAAATTAAATATTAAAAACTCTATATAGCATTATATAGAAATATGCTTTATAACGAAATTCTACATATAAGGAAGGGATAAGAAAAAGAAATAAAAGGAATTAGAAATGTCACAAATATAGCTAATTTATACAAGATTCCAAATTCCACATTGCCGCATTAACTACGCATTAATAGTTGATTAAATAATATCGATGTAGATAAGTAAAGCAACCTTGTAAAATATTGCCAACTTTACTCATGGGAGAATCATGAAACAAGTATGTACATACAATTCCCATTAGGCGCAAATCCTAGTCCTTCCTTTTTTTCTTCTTTTTTTTTTAGTATTATAAAATCATGCCCGTATGCACGTGTCCTCTTTATCCATATACAGTCAAACCTGTCTAAATGAATATGGTCGGTGGACCAATTTTGTATTCATTTATACAGGATATTCATTTACAAAAAATTAAAATATATAAAAATATTAATAAAATTGGTATATTTTATAATTTAACTAATCAAATTATAAAATTTTGTGTAACAATTATGCAGATAAAGTTTAAAATATTCAGTTAGTATAAATTTTTACTAATAAAATTAAAAATTTTTTATGCATTATTCAGTTAAGCAGTTTATGCAATTAGCCTTAGTAACCAACTTGGTTCTGAATTTTTGTATTCATTTGTACAGGATATTCATTTATACAGTATTCATTTAGACAGGTTTGACTGTATGTGCATAAAATATGAATACGTATAAGTTATGTATTTCTAATAGGCATATGACCAAAAAACAATATGTAATTTACATAATTTGACAATGCACGCTTTGTTTTCACATGAACGAAATAATACATAAAAATGTATAGGGTACTCGCCCTATAAGAATCATATTCAGAATTTGCTCGGGTTATTTTTTTAAGAAAATTTCAAATTTCCTGCAAGCAAAAAATTATAATCAGGAAATTAACAAGGTTTCGAAAATATCCAGGAAATTTGAAAATATTCAGAAAATGTTTAAAGGTTTTCTATAGATTTTTTGTTACGGAAATTGCTCATCTTTTAAAACAATAATGATTTTTTCTGTAATCTCGCATATAAAACTAACTAAAAAAAAAAAAAAAATAGTAATTTTGGTTGCATAATGATATTATACGTAGTTGATTTGGTGCAGTTTTTAAAATTAGGTGTACCAAAAATCGATAGATTAAAAAAGAGCTAAGCAGTGGTAATGTGCCCTGTGAAAATAGCAACTGGAACAGGTCCAATCCCGCATAATCAAGATTACTAGAAGAGTATGATTATAAATGACCTTCCGCATATAGTAATTCTATCTTAAAGGATATGCGAGAAAAGGCAGAGGAAAGCGCAGTTTTAATTCCACACCAGCCATAGCCAATTCAGCCCTAGCTTACCTCAATTAATTCGCGATCCAGCCCTCTTTCCCAAAGGAATCTGTCATTTCAATACGTATTTTAGCTACTGAACATAAACATCACATGATTATCTTGATAGCCGGTCTGCGTTATGCAGGTGGGAAACAAGCTTAACTGCTTACTTTTTTGTTAATAATTAACGTAATCATATGATTATGATCTCATTTCCTCGAAAACTATTTCCCCAACATGTCATTTACTCGACATCACGAAAGATGACAATTTCGCATTCTATTTTTTGTGGGTACATATTGTTAGTAAATAGTCACCCAGCATGATGTCCAAAAATGACATGTCGGAGAAATAGTTTTCGAGGAAATGAGACATGGCCCATTTGAATAAATATACTAAAAAATTTAAAAAATTTGACCAAATTGACAATAGGTGCGCCGGTGGCGCCACATCTCCACTTGTACTTTTATAATACGAATGTTCACAATTAGGGAATCATCCAGGGTGGGCCATAAAAAAGATTAGTAGAGCAACCAAAATTCAGCAGATCGACCACAATTTAGGGTCGGAATAGGCCGGAATAGGCCGGAATTGATAATTTCTTCCCAAATCACCCATAAAAAACGCTGTGTGACATAGATCATGGGCGCAGCAACGGTATACCTTCATAATGTAGATAATTTTTTTTAGAATAATGATTGTAATCCAATAATATATACTAAGCTGCGCCTATGATCTACGTTAAAATGCCCCTGGATGATTCTACGTGTTAAGTTGATTTTTCGTTTAACGTTACGTTATTTCCTTATCATCTCCTGAGCTTACCTCAAATTAAGCAAATAGAAGTAACAAATTGATTATAATGATCAGGAGTTTGCGTCTTACATTCAGGAGTTTACGGTACATTATGTATAGTACGTACACCCTCCTGTATAAATACGAAAAAAATAATCTTAAACGAAGTTTCAACTTAAATGCCTTAATAAGAAATGCATGGAAAACATAAAGTGCACATTCTTTCCTATATATGCTCATTAGGGATGGATCACTACGCAAGCTGCGCAGAACTTTTGAGAAATGTGTGGTGTAATTTTTTATAATCAACTTGTATAATTGCTGACTTGAATGTCAATGTAATATATATTCTTGTAGTTAGCAAAATCTTATGTTTTAGATAAGATAATAAACCAGCAAATATAATTGCGAAATATAAGTGAGTTTGTATTGTGTGTAGCTTGCACAGTAGATTCGATCTATCCATTTCCTAGTGCTCATAAAAAGAAATGATTATTTTTTCCTTTCATCCAAGACATTCATTGATTATTTAAATTCACTTGTTTGTCAATAACTAATAGCATGCCAAAAAACGCAAAAAAAAACTTTTATGAATTGTAATTTAGAATGGTGTAAATGGAAATTACGTTTTGTTAAATTGTTGCCATAATATATTTAATATATCAAAACATAAGTAGATTTCATGATAAAAGATAAAAATATCAAAAACGCAAAATACTACTAAGTAGATTTAAAAAGACATTTAAAAAAAAAAAAAAAAAGAGGAAAAAAAAAGAAAAAAAAAGAGGAAAAAAAAGAAGAAAAAAAGAAAAAAGAAGACAAATATTGATAACTAAGGAATTGGAGTTAGGAATGACGCAGCACAAGCTGCCATACACGCTCCTTGCGCAACATTGCACAGAAGTGCTGCCGCTGGGGCACCGAGTCCACCTGTTACAGTTCCTTCACAAGCGTATAAAAAGGATTACTTTCGTATTGCTATATTAAAACGAAAATTCAATTGCTAAAAAAATAGCTTACCTGCTACTAATCCTGCAGCGGCATAACATGAGACCCAGCCGGCATTACATGCCGACTGACATAAAATGAATGTTATAGGACCTGCTTCAGTTGTAGACAATAGTAATAGACTCAAGAGAATAGCGAAGAATAATTGTTTGGTCATTTTCGTGCGTTATAAAGATTGTTATGTTATAAAGATTGTTGATACTGTTATCATAAAAAAGAACAATTAGAAATATTTCAGATATTAAAATTAATCAAGTACAAAAAATTATAAAATTACTTCGAAGTTCAAAGAAATATAAAATTTCGTTGGTGTTATTTGTTAAGAAATTTCGTTTTATATGAAAATTGATGAAAATTTTCTTTGGTATTATTTGTTAAGAAATTTCGTTGAATATATGAGAATTGTTGAAAAATGCTGTAGCAAATTGTTGTTTATATACATTTTTTGTAATATGCGTAGCTAAGGAAATTAATATCCGCACGTACGTACGTAGTACTATGCACAGCACAGTGCATCATACGTATGCAAACAAAGAGGTAATCACAAAAAGTAAATTATACTATTTTGGAAACAATGACTTGAGGGGAGGACAAATTCAAAAGGGCTTTATAAATTTTAGTTTAGACTTTTATTTGAGGTTATAGAAAATTTTCAATTTATTTATTACGTAAAATTTCACTCAACCATTTTTAATTACATAGTATTAAAAGATAATTTAGCCCATTTATTTTTTCTTGTATTTTTTTTTTTTACGTTACGCACTACTTTTTTGAAGATCCCTTACACAAATAATGCATGTACACACGTATATGTATATCATTACGTACGTATGTCATTATGTATATCACACTACTAGTTGACTTTATTAGAAACAATGACATTCTATCACAATGTGTAATAATATAGGCTTGTTCCCTATCATAAATGTTACGACTCCGAATAATAAAAATAGTAAAACGTTCTTTATAGAAATGGTTTAAATTGAATGGACATATTTGTAATGACATGTTTATTATCAATTAAGAACGAAACCTGTGAACTAAACCTTTTTCTTTTCGAGGAGTTCGGTTTCAAAAATTAAGTTTCAGAATACATCAGCAAGTACATTTTTACCGTATTTACGCGAAATAACGCACACTTGCGTGTTATTTCGAGGAGATGCGCGTTATTTCGAGACAAAGGATACACCCCAATCACTGATGGTAAATATCAAGGTGATTTATTAACATTAGTATATGTGGGTGTGCGTTATTTCGGGACGCACTTGGGCGTTATTTTGAAACTAACTATGCTATTTTAAGGAAATATGATTTTCAAAATAACGCCCATGTGCGTTATTTCGCGTAAATACGGTACATTGATCTATGTAAAACTTTTATGTAAACTTATATATTTAATCTTATAAAAAACTTTATAAACCCAATGTAGATTTACATAGTTATTTATATATATCTATATATATTTTTATATAAAACTACGTAAAATTGCAAAAAAATTTTGAATTAAATTTTGAAGCTAGGATTAGATTTTAAAGTTTAAATTAGGGGTTTGGGGAAGGTTTTCGAGCATGCTTAGCATTTTTACTTAGTGAATCGAGTGGTGATTACCTTAGTCACTTTTGAGAAACGGCGAAAAGTAGTTTAAATTATTAAATTATATGTAAAAATTCTAGCTATATAAGTCTACGTTAAGTTTGTAAGTCTATATAAAGAATTTACATAACATTTACAGCATATAGCTTTGTAGAGCTATGTAAATTTTATAAAAATTGTACTTGCTGATGTAACGTTTTGGGTTAGTATTTTCCGAAACTATTTTGGATAGGCTTCGTTTCGGATCCAGAATCCCATTTTTCGTGTATTAGTAAGCAGTGTTGTTAGATGAAACCTATAGGTTTTTCACTGACGAAAAAACCCGATTTTGTTTTTCGTCAAAAAATTTTTAAAAAGACGAAATGACGAAATTGACAAAAATGTGATAATAAAATTAATATAACAAACATCATTTCCAAGATAAAGTTATTTTTACTTGGATCGTCTCTTAATATTTTCAAAAAGGTATATTCCTTTCATCTTGAATTGCAATTTTCAAGCTTTACGGTCTAGAAAAATCATCAAAGTTTTCGTTAAATATGCATAACAATGGTTTTGTAAGCTTAGTTAAATGCAATTACATCAAATATATGTATGATATAGCTAATAAAATATTAAAAAGTTTTTTTTCTATAGACCACCTTAAGTCATTTTTTTAACTCTAATCATCAAAAAAATTCGTTTTTAAAGACTAAACTTTACCAATAGATAGAAATTTGCTAAGTTCAGGGCGATTAGCGAAGCACAAAGTAAAAAATTTTTATTTAAATAGTGATTTTACGAAATTATGAGATTAGCACACATCTAATGTTCATTGGCGCTATTAAAATCTGTGCAACATAGTCATCAGTAAATTACACCGTTTTATTAAGTTTCTGGTACGTACAACCACAATACATCACAGAAGAAAAATGGGCTAGCTTATAAATTATATGGTGCGAACATTCTAAAAACATCCAAAATCTCTATTTCTCAACGGATAAGAGTAAATTTGTAAAAAATAAAAAAAAATACACAACTCAATAGTTACAATAAAGGTTTACAAGGTTATATATATAATACTCCCTTAAATATTATAAAATGGTATAGATTTGTTTGTAGGCCTTTTACCAGGACTTGTTCATATTTCATTTTCGTCAGGTTTCGATACTTCTTTCGTCTTTCGTCATTTTATAAAAATAATTTCGTCTAAAATCACTATTAACAAAAAACTTAATTTGAACAATTTTAAGACTTGATTATTAATTAAATATTATAATTTTTAGAACTAAATTTGATTAAGATTACATTTATAATGAATTCATTAAGAAAACAATTCTTTTATTCAATCTTTTGGAATTTATTTGTTTCTATGTTTTAAAAAAAGTCTTATAAGGGAGGCATGCCTATTTTGACGCAGCTAACGTTTTCGATAAATATCACATGGTATATCGATCAGAGCCGGATAATTTTAGTACCATTCGTTTCGTCTTGATGAGACGAATCGAATGGTACCAAAATCATCCAATTCCAATCACTAAATCATGAGATATCACTTATTAAAGGTTGT